GTTTCAATGTTGCCATATTCTTACATTTTCGATAATATGCTGACTACTATAGTAACACTAGGCATGCTGCCCAGCTTTGCTTAGGCTTTCGAAAACATTGAGAATTTGAATGCTTAATTAATTCGCCCGAGGTTCGGTCTACGACCTCAGGAGTTATGAAGAGGTTCCTCCGTGGACATTTTTTTTCGATTTATAGCTCATATAAGGCGCCGGTCAGTCGAGGTCAGTTTTGACCCCCATCATCGTAGACTTTTCGGCCAACCGGCCCCCGTGTTCGGTCGCCCCAAGGCAAGATCCTACCAAATTTGAAGCGCCTGCGGCGCCGGGAAGTGCCCTATCGGGCACCCGACAACTTTGCTTTATATATTATAGAGATTAGCAAATTGCATAGATAAACAAAGATTTCAATAAAGTAATTAAGGCCTGAAATACTTTAGTATAGAAATGTATTATTTGAATAGATGAATCTAGAATATCTAGATCTAGAATCCAAATAAATAAAATAAATTTTATGAGTTTAGGCCGGAAAAATTGTATTGTATACATTTCATAGTGTACGTAGATCTAAATCAAATTTGAATGAAATAGTTCATTTCTTTTTATTCTAAACACGGCAGATGACGTCATTAGTTAATGTATAAGCAATAGTGACGTCACAGTTTTATGCGTTCTTTTTCACATTTATTAATGCTTTTCCGGTTGCATAAATAATACTGTTTCTCTCCATTCGAATACGCCTTTAATTTTTATTTTTCTTCTTTAAATAAAATTGTGGTTATACATTTAAAACATCTAACATATTATTTTCAACAAACGTCTGTATAAAGTTCTCCATATATCGCTGCCGTTTCTGACGTGATGTCCGGCGAAAATATTTTGCGGACAGACAGAGAGAGAGAGAGAGAGAGAGAGAGAGAGAGAGAGAAGTGCGCACATGGGGAATTATATATTAGGATTTTATATGTATAGGCCTATATAGGTTAGAAGGTGGAAATGTAGGGTTTGTTGATGGTGGAAGATTGGGGTTTGTTGATGGTGGAAGATTAGGGTTTGTTGAGGGTACAACATAAGGGTTGGTTGATGGTGGAAAATTTGGGTTTGTTGATGGTGGAAGATTAGGGTTTGTTGATGGTGGAAGATTAGGGTTTTTTAATTCTTGTAGTAGAGGGATTTATGTTATGTTGGGATGTTATCAATTACTCATGTAACTCTAGAGAGTGTATGGGGATTTTCATCTAAACCAGGGGTCTCCAAACTTTTCAGTCCGAGGGCCGCATTAACTATCAAATTTCAGGGGCCAGTTAGTTCCAGACATGTCTTTGATTTTTCTAGGCAAAGTTCCTCAGCAATCACCCACAAACGATTTTTCCTTGGACAAAAAGATCTCCGCGGGCCGGATGAGAGGATTTTGCGGGCCGGATTCGGCCCGCGGGCCGTAGTTTGGAGACCCCTGATCTAAACAAACGCGGATAACTCTCTAGAACTCCTCACAGTGTCATAACTGATGAACGTTTGGTAGCAATGATACAAATAGCCATGCTTAGATTACAATTTGAGACAATTAAAAAATAATTGATTCAATTCGACAGATTTTTCTAATAAAATATTCAAGATTTTTATACAGCTTTCTAAAACTGTTTTGTAAAACTTTGAAATATCCGACATTCTGAAAAAAATAATGTAGCACATTATCAATTTTTATATACAATTCTACAAAAGAAATTCCAACAACAATAAACAAAACAGAAAGGAATTCAATTTATTTTACCAATTCGTATTCCATCTTAATTAGATAGAAAGAAAAAAAAAATCTTACTCGAGGAAGCTTTCACGTGCCAACTACGAAGAGCATCCGGGGTAGATTTCAGTGTTTTCCTCGGCTTAATGAGTTTGTTTTGTGTGATGTCAGCAGTAGAATCCTACACGCGGCGGTCCTTCATTCAGCCGAGCCGCACCCGCTACTACACCTGTGCGCCCCTGTTAGACAGCGGGGAATCACTGAGGGGGTGTTCATACGGTCGTGCTACTCAGTAATGGTAGACTACCAGTCATCAGTGCAACTGACAAGGGTAAAAGAGTAAAAAAAAAAAAAGGGGGGGGGGTGATTGCGACGTCAAGATCATGTTTTCGACATGATCTGAAACGTGCTTCTGACCATTGCTTTCCTCAATACTTGAAGAAAATGTGTTAAAATCTTTCTTCTTACTTTTCGTCGTTCCTAATGGAGTTTCTATCGGGGGATTCAGACAACAAGTCTGATGTCGTGAACAAAATGGACGGTGGTCTCCAGATCTGCTAGCACATCATACCGTTTTTTTTTTTTCTGAGAGGGTGTATTGGGACCAGAGTCTAGACCAGAGTCTAAATGCTGCAGTAATGTGGGGCGTGATCTGTGTTCTCTGGGACCATACCACAAGGGCGAGTCTCATCTGGACCAACTTTTAGTTTCCTATACATAAGTGGTTTCAGTCTGTTGTGGCCTTCTAAAAGTATGTGTTGGTACTGGCGTGTTAATGTCTAATATGCAGTATTATAATCAAAAGTGAACTTTTTTTTAGCAATACAACATTTTTAAATATCAATGCTGCAAACGGCGAAATGAAACCAACTTGAAATATTCCTTTTGCTTCGAAGCTACATTTTAATTCACATCCAAATGTTACCAAAATGTACTGTTATCATTTTATAATACAAACTGTGATTAGCTTTTATTGTATCAAATCATCAAATATGTTAAAAAATAAAACAAGATGCATACACATCAAGGTGTCATAGCTACGTGTATTTTATTTAACAACATTACCATACATTTTTTAAAAAAAATTGTATCACCCTATTTAAAAGTATTTTGGACGGATATTATTTTCGATGTTTGCAAATTAGCCAAAATAAGCGTTTGAATTAATTGTATACAACTTCAAATTTTTATTTCAATTTAACATTAATCTTTATTGGTATGAAGTCAGAGATTTATCAGATAGCTCATTCAACTTTAATTAATTATTATTTTGCAGTAGCATTTGTAGATTACTGATTTACCATCAGCTTAACGATTGCAGTCACAAGTAAATGTTAAAGAACGCATATTTTTAATGTAGGCCTACCTTTAAAAACAATAAACAGGGAGTGATCTCCCCTAAACTTTCTCGGATACTCTAATACAAAACTACGAGGGATGGCAACTCAGGACATAGACAATATTTGTAATCCATTTTTAATTACTTACTTTTTATAATAAAATGGAATCTCGTAAAAAAAAAAGAATTGCACACTAAGTGAACGCCTAATAAAATGTGCATAATAGTGCGGGATATTATTAGTACTTTATAAATTTACGTGCGTTTTTTGAGAAATCGGAGATAGCGTAAATTAGTACTTCCGGTCAACGGAAATTACTCAAAATTAGACAGAAGGTAGAGAATTTGATCTTTTACTTACAAGTGAAATTTCATTTATCTATCTGAAATAGTACTCAAGTTATGGGCTGTTGAAAAATTCAAAGTAGAAAAAGTACCACTTCCGGTTATCGGAAATCGCTCAAAAGTTGATACGGATCTACGATTTTGATAAAATACTTATATATGAAATTTCATCAACCTAGCTGTAACGGTACTCAAGTAATCGTGTTTACACACAGACACACACACACACACACACACACACACAGACACACAGACATACGGACAAGATTGCAAAATTATGTTTTTCCGTATCAGTGAGGTGTAAAACGTCGAGATTTGTAAAAATCTCGATTTTTTTTTTGCACGATTACAATACTTTCTCTATACTTCGTATATACGAGAAAGTAAAAAATTATGCGTAGAAACTTTACTTCCACACCAATACTGCATTGCAGTATCGGCTACGCCCGCCCTTAACCGCAAGCTTGATGGATATAATTTCTAACAGTCTAAAAATAAAATAAAATCAGGAATGCTTAAGATTAGAGGAAACAGCGGTTCCTAAAAAAAACAGACACAGGTAGACGAGCAGGGTTTAAAGTCGTCGGGGTTTCACGGGTTTATTTCTAGGCGAAGATGGGGTGGGGTGGGGGGGGGGGGGGTGAGGGGATGGATGTGAGGGCGAGAGCGGTGCGAAATTAATGGCAATTATCCGGGGGTCGTATTCGTGGGGTTCGGGACTAGGGATTTATTTATTTTTATTTTTTTATTTTTTGTGATGGGTGTATTTTGGTTGTCTGACCCTGTTGGTTTTTCTTGTATGGCTTTTTGTTGAACTGAAGCCCTTAAGGGATGTTTTGAATTGTATTCGTTGCTGTTTGACTATGTATACTCGTGCACCCGCGCGTGTATGTGTGTGTGTGTGTTTGTGTGTGTGTGTGTGTTGACGTCTGTGCGTACATTCATGTTTTCGTTTCTGTGTACTCACGCTTGTATTTTTTATTTTTACTTTGTACTGACAAGTATCTGTATTTGTATATGAGTTTTAATGTGTGTATGTTTATGTGTGAGTGTGTGAGTGTTTGTGTTAACCCGTTTGTTTATTATGTTTGAGTCAAATGAAAGAACATTTTTCTAGCTTATTTTTATTTATGTATTTATTTATTTTATTTTGAAACAAAATATAAAGATTGTTATCAAGCCCTAGGCAAGTTGTCTTTCTTCTCAGACATCCGGATATAACAATAGGCAAACCAATGACATGGTATGGAGAGGTGGAGTGGTAGTGCGCTCGAAAGCAAGCCCGAAGGTTTCAAGTTCAGATCAGGTTCCGGACTCGTGACTGTAGAGTCCATCCAGCTCTAATGGGTACCTGGAATTCTTTAGGGAAAGTAAAGCCTGCTGAACATAATTCTGGTCGCACAGTCCCTTCATATACCGAGTTCAAAAAGACGTAAACTCTACAGCATCTACCATATTCATCTTTAGATCTGAAAGAAACTTTACTTTCTTAAAACCAACAACCCACAAACCACAGAGGAGTATAACAACACGTACAGTAAAACCAACAACCCACTAACGACAGAGGAGTATAACTACATGTATAGTAAAACCAACAACCCACTAACGACAGAGGAGTATAACTACATGTATAGTAAAACCAACAACCCACTAACGACAGAGGAGTATAACTACATGTATAGTAAAACCAACAACCCACTAACGACAGAGGAGTATAACTACATGTATAGTAAAACCAACAACCCACTTAAGACAGAGGAGTATAACTACATGTATAGTAAAACCAACAACCCACTAACGACAGAGGAGTATAACAACACGTACAGTAAAACCAACAACCCACAAACCACAGAGGAGTATAACAACACGTACAGTAAAACCAACAACCCACTAACGACAGAGGAGTATAACTACATGTATAGTAAAACCAACAACCCACTAACGACAGAGGAGTATAACTACATGTATAATAAAACCAACAACCCACTAACGACAGAGGAGTATAACTACATGTATAGTAAAACCAACAACCAACTAACGATAGAGGAGTATAACTACATGTATAGTAAAACTAACAACCAACTAACGACAGAGGAGTATAACTACATGTATAGTAAAACCAACAACTAACTAACGACAGAGGAGTATAACTACATGTATAGTAAAACCAACAACAGACCACAGACAGACTGATATAGCACAGAGGCGTAGCGAGGGGGGGGGGCGTGGGGGGGGGGCATATGTCCCCGGGCGCCGATCTTAGGGGGGGGGGGGCGCCAAATTGAAAGTTTGAGGGGGGTATAAATGAAAAGTTCGAGGGGGGGGGGGGGGGGGCAACTCGAAAGTTTGAGGGGGGTGCAAATGAAAAGTTCGAGGGGGGTGCAAATCGAAAGTTTGTCCCCGGGCGCCGGGTAGGGTCGCTACGCCTCTGATAATGCAATAGAAAAATCAAGAACAGGTTACAGTGATGTAACAATAATAAAACCAACAACATATTCTATCCACATATGGGAGAAATCAATAAAACAAACATACCAGCATATATATCATGTTATAAAGTAACATATGTGGTCCGAGCTCCCTTCTGTATTACATTTCAACATAAGATTTTAAGACCGTCTTTACAGCTACGCGCTGGCCACACATCCAATAAAAACATGCATTGTGAATTATCATTTTTTAACTTTTTTTTTTAGTTTATTACAAATTTACTCAATCTGTTATCAACAGGTTTACATCAGTAAACCCAATACTAAGACAATCTTTGTAAAATCTTATTCGCGTCGTCTTGAAATTTTAATTACCTTTTACATACCAAAGCAGGTCATCCTGATGTAAACCTTGACTTAATAAAACCTTTTACCAACATACATGTCAAATAAACATTTCACCAGGTTGACGGTGTAAGGTATATTTTAATCTAGACCTCCAATATTCCCTGACCCCCCAAAGTTTCCCGACCCACACAATCCCCCACCCCAGGGGCCTATTACATGTAACACAATCAACAGGGACCACGGCCATCTTGCGCGTGTCTTCAAAGTCTGCTGTACAAGCCTGGATTTAACTCACCCTCAAACCCCACACCCCGCAACAGATGTAAGGGATAGTCAGGGATTAACGCCACCCACACGTCGACGCGAGCCTCGACGCAATCCTACCCCGGGGGGAGGGGTTTTGTCTAAGAAACACAACTGAAATAACTTCTCAAATATATTTTTTTATGATGGGAACTCTATCCTTTAAGCAAACAATTCGTGTGTGTTTGTGTTTTCTTTCATTTTTTTTTTCTTTCTAAAATTCAGTTTAATGCAAAATAAAACAAATCTTTATGAAAATAGAAGCGGCGTGTGAGTCAAATCCTTCAGTGATGCTGAACATTCGGGTTAATTCGTGTAGTCAAGTCGGGAGATTGTATGTTTTCTTTGGGATTTGGTGGAGTGAGTGAACGCACAGCACACATGCGTATATCAGGAACTACTTTTTGTTTTGATCCCACAATGGCAGGTCATAGGAACTATTTTGTCTCTTAACACTAGACAATGCGGATCAGAGGGACTACTGTATGATTTAGCTAAATAAGTTCGAATAGTACAATGTGATATCTCACTACATTAGTGTGGCATCATTATCATCTTTTTTCAGTTCCTCCAACACACATGGGTCAAATGAAGTAGATTTCATCTGTTTCAATAACCTCGCCATACAAGGGGAGTATGTGGTCAACACAGCGCCAAGCTAGTTTCCTAACATCAGTCAGGAGCCCATCATAGCTGAGTGGCCTCGGGGACGTCCGACAGACTTTGGTCCTGGATCCGAACACGAGACGATCGTGTTGGCAGTCGCAAACTCTAACATTGAACCTCGCCTCAGTGCGTGGCATAGACCATAACATATATTTATCGACACACTATTGTTGTTTATCAATGCGTTAATGTTATAAGTCTAAAATATGTTTGAACTAAATTTCAGTTTAGTGCTTATCCTAAAACTATTATTATGCCATGAACTCACGTTCTAAGTAAAATTTATACGTAGTTCGCTAAAGAAGGATTTGTAGGGCCCATTTGAAATTTTACGTTCGTATTTTTTAAATCATATTTTTAGAATAGTTTACGTAAAATTATTTCGAACAGACACTAAATAACAATTTAAAATTGCAGTTACCTACCACCCTAAAAAAGTTCTACAAATACTACCCCAAAAGTCCCGAGATCGAATCCTGACTTGACACTCTTCCTTCTGCCCACGATACATTATTTCTTCTCATGACCACAAATACAAAATAAACTCTAGTTTGTTTGTTTGTTTGTTTGTTTTTTTTTTTGCTAGGAAAGAAAAATATTCTAGAAATTGTAGCTTACAGTTTGTTTAGAATATCTATCAACAGCCAACTTAAATTAACGAAACTGGATGTGTTACAGTCGACAAACGCCGTGAAACTTCTATCGTCCTCATCAGACCTATTAGCCGTCCAAGACATTTTTCTCTCAGCAATTAGCCACGCCCCTACGCTCGCCAGTCTCATTGAACTCTCTCTATATCCCGTGGATAATTTGTTGCCGTCTGCTAACCCACCCTCTGGATCCTGCTACTTATCCACACCATGATACACCTTCACCCCCGCCCCACACGAGGGCGCCCCCCATTGAACAAATACCCGATGCCATATCAAAGCCGCGGCAGATAACCAACGATACCCAATTAACGGATCTAGAAAAATCCTCAGATAACCGGAAGTGGAAGAGTTGTCTCTCTTGGCCGTGATTTATCCGCGGATTGTCTTTGGGAAAGGCGCATAAATTACCGAGTGAGTACTCCGCTCTTTAACCTTGATGACCTCTGACCCGGAAGATTAACGGCACGTGCGAGCCATTAGGGCCATTCGTGGTGCCTTTAATTTGAGGATGTTTCTGCGATGAAAGTAAATTGGTGACTTAATTAACTCTAACTCTCGCAATAGACATTCTTTATTAAATTGTACTGACTATAAATTTGATTCGCTAACATGCCTTTACTATCTTTACTTTATTTATACTTTGGTATTATATCTCCGCATTTTGAATTTCAGAAGAAGATAAGTAGTTTACAAAAATGATAAATAATAAGGCAATCGAAGATTACAATGAATACTGTAATATAGAACTATTTTTCCAAAATGTGCGGATGCTTTCACAAAAAATTTAGGAATTGTAAATTTATTGTTCAAACTTAGGTAATATTCAATAGCCTAAAATTTAATTTCTAGTACCTTATTTCGTGAAGCTAGCATTAACAAAAAGGGAAACAAACAGATCTGGAAACGAAATGCGACTGGTCAAAGACTCGTACTCAATGTGTTTGATTAGTTGAGTACTGTGAGCTATTTAGTCTCCTCCACACATACATTGTAGCAAAAAGTGTTCGGAGTGAAAGAAATATATCTTAGATTTTAGTCATTTGGGCAGTAAAAAATCATGCCATTGGTTTCATTAACCAACATTCAAAACTCGTTTAACTAATCAACATTCAAATCTTGCTTGTATTGAAGGCACGATGCACATCTGAGTTGCTTATTTTCAATACATTATGAGCTTAGGTTTGAACAACAACAGTCAACACGCGAAAATTTGTATGTGGTACCACGGGTGACGGACGTGCAGCTGATACACACACGTCATGGTCAACAAACTCGCCATGGTCAACAAACACGTCATGGTCAACAAACACGCCATGGTCAACAAACACGTCATGGTCAACAAACACGCCATGGTCAACAAACACGCCATGGTCAACAAACACGCCATGGTCAACAAACACGTCATGGTCAACAAACACGTCATGGTCAACAAACACGTCATGGTCAACAAACACGTCATGGTCAACAAACACGCCATGGTCAACAAACACGTCATGGTCAACCAACACGCCATGGTCAACAAACACGTCATGGTCAACAAACACGTCATGGTCAACAAACACGTCATGGTCAACAAACACGTCATGGTCAACAAACACGCCATGGTCAACAAACACGTCATGGTCAACCAACACGCCATGGTCAACAAACACGCCATGGTCAACAAACACGCCATGGTCAACAAACACGTCATGGTCAACCAACACGTTATGGTCAACCAACACGTTATGGTTAACACAGCATCAAGTCGTTGGTGATTTCGTAGCGTTCCTCTGTCAGAGCGAGGATTAGGATCAGTGGCGTAGCGAGGTCGGGTTTCACCCGGTGAGCACTTAATGGTGTCACCCCCATAGGCGTAGAAACCCTTCCCGGGGACAAACTTTCAAATTTTCGATTTGCACCCCCCTAAAACGTTCGATTTGCACCCCCCCTCAAACTTTCAATTTGCACCCCCCCCCTCAAGTTTTTCTTTATATATTTGCTTTTTTTTTTTGCCTTGGTGTCGCCCCCTAAATGGTGTCACCCGGTGCGGTCCGCACCCCCGCCCTCCCCCCCCCTCGCTACGTCTCTGACTAGGATTAAGGTTAGTGTCTAGTCTAGGTTCAAACATGTATGGTCGAGTAGATGTAAATTAGTTGTCAATTTGTCACGGAGTCAACTGTAAAACTGACAACTTTGTATAAGAATTTTTTGAGCTCCGTGCCTACAAATTACATTTTACGCACAGGTTTTTGCTCCTTGGGCGAAATCTTCAGATACAAGATCTGGATCAACGACAAAATAAAGGCTAGAGTTAAAACAGAGGTTGTGGCTGTTATCGGTGGATATATGTAGCCTATAAAAATATTAAAATATCGTTCTTTTGCTTGACAGTAAAGTTACTCTCTCGGTTCTAACCATCCATTCAGCAGATGAGGTAGTTCTTGCATATATTGATGAAGGCATATGAAGCCACCTTTACTTTCCCTAACGCGAGTCAGGTACCCAACAGAAAAGACACAAGACTTCCGGGATAGCAGTCGTGCGCTCTACCACCCGACCACGCCGTCTGTTAACACAGCGTGTTTTTATTGTGTTGGAATTAAACATCGCATTCAGCTGATCATCTCAACTTTTTAGCTTTAAATATCCCCCAAGTTCTCCATTTACACCATCTCATGATGTCATGGGATATCATACACAGATGACATCTTTGATAATGATACGCTGTAAACCAAGCCAAATATGATGT